ACTACTTCTCAAAGTTTATCAGAAAGTAAAATTAAATTATTTTTATACCTTTGCTTTCATTCCTAACGAAACAGTATTCTTTTGCATTGAACAAAACTAAAAATTTTTGTAAGCATAAAAACAGAGCATATTTTGTTATAGCGTATATATATAAGGGGTAGTTAAAAATAAAAATTCTGGGATTAAATAGTGTTATGAACCATTAAAATAATGCATATACAAATTTACAATTCAGAATAGAAAAATGCAGGCGGAAAAAATATAATAAAAACAAAACTATAATTAAGTCAAAGTTTGTTTTACATGAATAATTTAAATTAATTTTCATTTGTTGTGCAAAAGATTAAAGAAATAATATCCACCTAGATTTAATGCTTTTTTATTGGTTCTGTAAGCCTTTTGTACTGAATAATTACTTTTTTTAAAATTTCCCATAAAAAACATATTAATTTCCAATTGGGTTGGTTTCAGTTGTTTATTTGCTTTGTCCACTTTTTGCTATGAAATTAAAAAAGACAAAATACTTGATAAATATATAAATCAGTATTAATTTAGATTGATAAATATATAAAGCAGTACTAGTTAGACTGATAAATATACAAATCAGTATTATCCAAGTTGCTAAAGCTCTCTTCGATTCCTTCAGTACCAGTTTAGTTAGGGAATCACAATCGGCTTAAAAATAATATAATTTTGAATTCAACTGAAAGTTTGATTTTTTGGGCAAAATTTGACTTGAACGATTTTATTTTGAGCAAATATCGAAGAGCAATCATGCAAGTTTGCTCTATTTGGCTGGAAAGGATAAAGTATTCTATAAAAATGAACAAATTTTTATTAGTTCTAACAATACTGCACTTATGTTTTAAAAAATAAATCCTCTTTTGATTGCCAAGCGTATTTTCTCAATGGCAAAATAACATATTCAATGGTAAATAAACTTAAGATTCTTTATAAAAGAGACAAAATAAATTATGCACATTTACAATTAGACAGCAACAACAATTGCGTATGTGTGACGTATTGAAACAAAAACTAAATTAACGTCAATTTTTGAATGCCCACAAATAATTCACACCCAAAGGCAATTTTAATTTGCTTGAATTTAAGTAATACTTTTACGTGATATTAAATTTTACCAAATGAAAAATATGAAATGGCAAACTTGAAGCGATGCAAAAAAAATATTTTGTCCGCATAACTTGGAGAAAATATTCAAATAGAAGATGGATGATGTTTTCTGACTATTTGATGCATGTTATCCGGCTTGCTATCTTAGTCTTCATGATTTGTTACTCTTAATACTTTCGATTTTTTTTATCTTAAGTGATTCCAAAAACATGTTTTTATATTCTACTGATTAAACAATTAGCAATGCTCATCAATACTACCATATAAATAGTGATATTTATGTGATCCCTTACCAATATGACGATTTCTTGCACCGTAGTATCAATTAGTTTAGTATTTTGACCATATCTAATTGAAAGGGTCACTTTTACATGTACTAAAAACTAAAACTTCATAAGCAAACTATACAAAATTAAATCGTTATTATTATTAAAAGAAAAAGAAATGAAAATAATTTCAATTTTTTCATCTACTTACTAAGTATTAGCTATTGTTTGCAAGCACTCACTACAGTGCTCTGAAGCAGTTTATTATTTTATTAATTGTGTAAAATTATTAATGCTATGCTTGTGGATAATCATAATATGTTGCACTCAATATTTCCAAAAAAATATATTTTTTAAAAAGATGCAAAGCATGAAAATAACCAACGCAGAAGTAGAAAAAAGTTCTGAAAAGCGAAATAAAAATTAACTTATGGAAAAAATAATTATAATTCTGCTAAACATCAGTACACGTACTTTACATTTTTCATTAAAAAATTTTAAGAATGTGCAAATTAAGACTTTGTTTCTCTATGCTTCACATTCATTTATTCTTTAATATACTTCAATTCTAATGATAAGATTGCTTTGCTTCTAAAGAAAGCATCCAATGCTTTTATTTGTTTAAAGAAATCCGTGACCTTTATATTTTACGAAGAAATTTAAAAAATTCGCGTTTTTTAATAAAAAATTCAGTATTTAAATTACTGCAACACTAAAATAAATTATTTATTATCTGATATTTGATTCATTTACATTTAATCAAGTAAAAGTTTCGAAAAAAAAATTAGGTTTTTCCGGAAAAAAGAAAATGACTCGCATTTAGCTATAAATTTTATGAGAACATCTGACTAATACCATATGCCTTCTGAAAATAATTATATTAAAAATGAGACAAGGAAAAGGTCAAAAAAATGTAGTAAATGCTAACCTAATTCAAAATCCCTTTGCACTCTTTCAACGAATAATTAATTCTTTAAATATATCCACAAAAAATGCTTCAAAGTTATCCAAAATTTCTAGCATTACTGAACAATTCGAATATCATGTTATGGAAGTAAAACATCAAGCTTAAAGTGTCCACTAGAAGAAAGGGAGAAAAATCTGAAAACAGATTGTGAACGTGAAGTTTCCTGATCCTACAGCTTTGAAAAAAAGTATGAAGACG